AGTATATATATATATATTTACATTTATTTATTTTTTAGGAGATAAGAAAGGATAAGAAATTGGATTTATTTCACAGTTCAATGAATGCAGCCAATTAGGGCAGACAATGCTACCAGATAATTCTTTTTTAGGTTTGGATTTAATAGATTTCTGACAGTGTATACACACAAAAACTGAGCCTGTGGAAAGGCTATGCACATTCAAGTATTTTTATATTCTTAACAGACAGTAAATGAACTTTTAAAACAAAACCTCAGAGAAATCTAAAGCTGTTCATAAATCAACTAGAACTAGCCTCCGCTATGAAATTTGAAAATGTATTGCACCACAGTGCCTGCAGCTACAGAGCTAAATGAGTTTTAACATTCATTTGCTACTTGTTAAGAATCTGTAAATTCTGTTCATAGCCTGTTTACTTTAGAATGGTATGACAAGTTTTACCAATATGCTAAAGTTAATTGTTTACTCACCATTTTACAAGAACATGCATAGTGCCTTCTTGAAGAGTCAGAGGCAGAAAGCTGATCTCTTTGGTGGAAACCCTTAAAATTTCAAAAACAAAATAATCCATCATGCTAATACCCTATTAGCTAATTTGAGTGGTGAAACGCTGGATTCCAACTTAGGGATTGGTCATTCATTTTAACAGTTGAATCACTTTTGGAAAGAGAGTATTCTTTAAGCATGTTCTAATGTACACTGGATTGCTTTAAGAATCATTCATTGATAACGTGCTTAGGTTAGTAGCTAAATGTGCTATAGCCAATGCAGATAGGTAAGATGGTGAAGGGGAGAAATCCTTATTTTATGTACCTATCTGTCATACCATACAAAGACAGAAAAGTGATGGCAGAAAAATTACCAAGTGGTCAATCAAGTTTTGCTGTTTTTTTGTTCCTTTTTTTTTTTACATGTTTTTGATTTTGTCTTTTTTTGTTAACTCAATGGAGTCGCGTTCCTCCTCCTGGTAGTATTCCATACTGCCAGGAGGTGAAACTTAGCTCCACTGAGTCCCATAGTGCCAAAGAGCTTGACAAGTAGAACACAAGCCCACAGAGCTGGCACATCCTAACCAGACTGTCAGCCAATGGCCACATTCTGGACTTTCACTGGAGACTGCTTAATGTTTATGAGTGCAGTGTTTTACACTCAAATTTAATAAATTCTTCCTTTTAATGCGCTATGTCTATGCTATGTTATGTATGTCCCTTTACTAATAAGTATGAGCCAATTGATCTCCTTCTCCTTTTTGATGGCTGCATATATATCTGTGGCCTCTGGGCGCGTGGGCATTAACGCAGAGCATCTGCATATGAGCATCTGTATGTACACATTTTACTGTCAATACAGTAAAATTATGCAGCACCAATGAATAGAACAAAAAAAACATACAAAAAAACAAATAAGTAAACAGTGTTCAATGTGCCAAACATGAAGTCTCTCTTAAACCAAAGTCCATATATATTCAGATAAAAAAGATCTTTCACCATCCAGAAGATCCTTGTAGTGTAATGAAAAAAACACTAATTGCTACCCCCTTAATCAAACGCAAACTCACCAAACCATGAGCTGTAATAGGTACAGCAGAAAAAGCATGTTTCACAGGCACAAATCCTCCCCAGATGTATCACTTCTCTTAGGCAGCATCAAAAGGCTGCTCCCACTGGAATAGATAGAGGTCACCAAAGAGCTGGGAGAGCCACTGATGATGATGCAGTGGCGTGATGTCAGCACTGAGACTCCACCCTGACTAACTTAATCCAAACCGATGTTCTAAGGGGGTCCTTTGTGCAAAATGTGCAAATTATTATTGCACATTTTAAAGCTACTGCTTTATTTTGTATAGTATCCTTTAGTGATGTGGAGGTCACTGAGAGGAACTGCTGAGCAATGCAGGAAACACAGGAGATCAACACTCCTGAAAGTATCAGTTTCAGCAGATACACTTTAGTAGTTCGTTCTTGGTGTAAAGAACCCCTTCTTAAACTGATAGCAACATTTTTTTTCCTTCTGTATACAGTTGATGTTTCCTTGTATCGTATAAAGTCATTTGGATAAATGGTTAATTTGCCAAGTTTTTATACTGTCCTTGAATATATTTAGACATACTAATTAAGTAACCTTTTTTTAAGTAGTCCATTTATTCATTTAGTTGCCTATATCTGAAACTGCTTTAAAACTCCATTATCCTTTTATCCTGTATTCTAGACGTGACCTTACACGTGATTGATACAGAGGGCACTTTAAATTATAATTGCACATTTCTATTTCCCTTGTTATACTTTCTGAGATTTTGTATGCTTTTGCAGCTGCCACTTGGCATTGAGTAATGCCATTAAGCGTATTGTTAAAAAGTATTCCCAAATCCTTCTCTACCTTTGCTTGTCTGAATTCAATTTATGATATAGTATTTATGCAATTCCCCAGCTCTAGGTGCATAATATTAAATTTATCAATATTAAATTTCATTTGCCATCTTACTGCCTGCTGCCATTTTGTCAACATCTTCCTGTAATATATCACTAGCTTTCAAATTTTTTAAAATTCTACATAACTGTGTGCTATTACAAACATGGCATTAACACTATTTCATCCCCAGGATTTGGTGTTGTATTTTTTCAATATAAAATACTACCCATCAGATAATATTACAAGGACTAAACTGATCATCTTTTATCATCAAAATAGAATATCCTGTAAGCAGTAACATTTAATAGACATTCAGTAGACACAATTATAAATAACAATATGTGGCACCTGATTGTAATGATGCAGTTCAGGTTCAGAGTTTTACTACTATTCATAAAGTGCTTCAGCAGACCTTTCCTGATTTATGACGCTAATAGATCCCTTAAATTACTTCTAATATTAAACTGTATGCAGTGTATTGTCCTGTGAAACAAAATGTGACTGTAACATGAACATTAAACACTGAATGTATAATCCATTGTGAGACAAAAAAGTTTTTTTTTTTTTCTGAAGGTCAAGGTTAAATGTTACTAGACAGTGCAGTGGATAATAGCATACTTTAAAAACAGTTAATATGGTACATCCAATTCAATCACACAGACATTTTAGCTTTCAAGGACATTCACTTTTATATGAACATGACTCTTCATTTTATTTGATATTGCTTACAGAGCTTTACCGTGCATGGTGACAGATGCTTTTGTTTATACAATATATGCTTTGTTGATAATTTTGCTATAGATAAATGTAGTTTGAATAGCATATTGGCTTTGCGTGTCTATTTGGAGCTGCAGTGATGAGATCCCCTTCCTGCAGTTTATGGATGCCCCAGCATGGATTCTCTCCTTTTTGCAAGAAGAGACTAATATATTGTGGCACAGGGGCAGACTGACCATTTGTAAACTCGGGCATTGCCCGAGGGCCTGGGGTCAGTAGGGGGCCCCATGAGATGCCCCTGATACCTTTTTCATAGGCTTTTTTGAGTTTGGGCAAGGACACAGGGGCCCCATGATCCCCTATTGCCCGGGGGCCCCATGAGTTGTCAGTCCGCCCCTGTTGTGGCAATCACATTTTTACATGCTTGCTCTAGTATAGTTATGTTATTGTATTACACATAGAGATTTGAAGGTTAACAACTATATTGAACAGACACTAAGTTAGCGATCACTTTTCCTCCCATCCAAAAGTGTATATCTGGGAAGAAAAACAAAACATATTTGGCACATCTCATTATTTGTATATATTCCTGCTTTAAAGGGGGTATATGCAATATTTTGTGGCAATCACATTTTTACATGCTTGCTCTACTATAGTTTATATTATTGTATTACACATAGAGATTTGAAGGTTAACAACTACATTGAGCAGACAATACGTTAGCAATCACTTTTCCTTCCATCCTAAAGTGTATGTCTGGGAAGAAAAACAAAACATATTTGGTACATCTCATTATTTGTATATATTCCTGCATTTCGTACTTAAAGGAAACACTGTAAAAAATAATCATTGATCTGACAGAAATCCAGTGCCTCTGCTGCACTAACTAAAGTCCAAAGCAGTGTTGTCAACCCCACTCAGGCTTCCTTTCATGAGTACACAACATTGCACCCTCTCCATAACATAAAGGGGATGTGTTTTGTAGTACAGCAGGGGAGAACTGGGATGGGCTGACAACACTGCTTGGCATTTCAGTGCAGCACAGGCAGTTAGGAAAACACATATTTTATGGCAGGATTAGCTCTATCAAATGAACTCTTGAACTCCATAGCTTGTGCAGGGTATTTCCTTAATACAATGCTCTAAGCTTCCCATAATAACTTTGTAGAGTGAGCATCCTTAAATTTATTTCCACTTTTGATGTATTTTTATTCAAACACCGTGCCTTGTTTAATTTATGATTTCTTACCCTTTAGATGTTTTTTAACCACTTGCCTATCGGGTACTTATACCCTCTTCTTTACCAGGCCAATTTTCAGCTTTCAGCGCTGTCGCATTTTGATTGACAATTGCGCGGTCATGCAAGATTGTACCCCTTTTTCTCACAAATAGAGCTTTCTTTTGGTGGTATTTAATCGCCGGTGGGCGCTTTACTTTTTGCTCTATAAACAAAAAAATTGAAAAAAAAACTTTTTTTCTTTGTTTCTATTATAAAATTTTTCAAACAGGTAATTTTTCTCCTTTACTGATGTGCATTGATGAGGCAGCACTGATGGGCACTGATAGGTGGCACTGATGGGCACTGATAGGCAGCACTGATGGGCACTGATAGGCGGAACTGATAGGCAGCACTAATGAGTTGTCACGGATAGGCGGCACTTATAGGCAGCACTAATGAGGTGTCACGGACAGGCGGCACTGATAGGCGGCACTGATGATGGGTACTGATAGACAGCACTGATAGGTGGCACTGACTGGCATCACTGCTGGGCACTGACTACCGGCATTGCTAGGCATTGACTGGCGCAACTGCTGGGCACTGACTGGCACAACCACTGGGCACTGACTGGTGGCACTGCCTGGCAGCACTGCATTGATGGGCACTGGTGGGTGGCACTGGTGGGCACAGGTGGGTGGGCACAGGTGGGTGGCACTGCTGGGCACAGGTAGGTGGCACTGCTGGGTGGCACTGCTGGGCACAGGTGGATACACTGCTGGGAACAGGTGGGTGCACTGCTGGGCACAGGTGGGCAGGAACTGGTGGGTGGCACTGCTAGGTACCGAACATCAGGGCACTGATCATCATTGCCCTAATGATCGGTGCCGGTCCCTGCTCTGACAACTGCTGGTTCTCGGCAGTACTTTCCTCGTGCTCTGACAGCGTGAGGAAAGTGCAGCCAAGAACCGGCAATTGCATTTCCCGGTGATCAGCGTGTCATTGGACATGGCTGATCATGTGGTAAAAGGCTGCTGTGATTGGCCTTTTACCACATCACGTGATCAGCTGTGTCCATAGGACACAGCGATCACGGAGATCGCCGGGTACACGCCCCCCCCGGGGTGCGCAGGAAAGCGCGTTCTGGGAGGACGTCATATGACGCCCTCCCAGTACTGGCCGGCCGCAGTGTAGCCATCATTCGGCTATCTGCGGTTGGCAAGTATTTAACCTAGCCATAGATGGAACAAAATTCAGTCACTTCAGCAGCGAGTGGCTGAATCTCGTTCTATCTATGGCTGTTCTGGTTTGAGAAGAGTCAATCTAATGATTGACTCCTCTCGAGTGGGACTACTGGTAAATTTTCATTTAATCAGTGCTGTAGACAATAGATCAATGGGGAGGATTGAGGTGGATAGGGGATCTATTCAATTTTTTTGGCTGATCGAAAAAAATCTGATCAATGTTTGACATGCTTTAAGCTAGCCATAGACAGAAATTCATCCAGTTCAGCAGGAACTGGCCAAATTTCAATCCATCTATGGGCAAGATGGTTGTACTGAAATCGCTGCATTGATCGATTTCAGAACAACCAGCCTGTTTTTTTTTTTCATGTGATCACTGCTGGTGATCATTGCATAGCCGTGATCATTGTGTTTTGCTGGTGGAGAAGAATTCCCCCTCACTCCCCGCCAACAGAATACAGTGTCAGGTTTAGGGTTAGTGTCAAAAGTAATGGTTCGACTTAAAGGTCAGGTCAAAGGTCAGGTTCAGTGTATTTTAAGAAAGCAAAGACTAAGTATGTAGTTACTTAATTTGGATACCCCCATATGAATATATAAACACAAAATATAAACAGAATTTTTTTTTTATTCACTAACATGCAGTGGTAACATTTAAATCAAGTAGATCTTTTTTGCATGTCTTTTTAAAAGAAAAAAAGATGATATTCACTTTAGCCTTATCCTGCTACCTTTCTAATGTATCATTATTAAAAACAACACAGGCAGAGTCAGTCTTCTTAAAATGATGTTGGCAGGTGGATAGAACTTAGAGCTATAATGGATGCTGATATGTCAAAGACATAGTAAAACAGCTTTCTTGCACCTAGGCAAAGCTGAAATTTATGGTTGGGTGGACCATTGAAAAATGCATCAGTTCTAAAATTTGTGTGATTAAAAATATCAGCAAATGTTTAGATAATGTTTTACCTGTTTATTATATGTTGGCAAATTAATGCTACAGAGGAGCAAAAAAAACACAGTATAAGGAAAAACGTATAATGAGAGAAATGTGGAAAATTGAATTGATGATCTTTTCTTTTAAAAAAAGGATGGTAGCCTGGTTTGTTGTTTATAGAATTCAATAGTGCAAGCATAAGACACAATCAACCAAATGAAAAAGATTAGTGAATCTACTCACACAGCTTTCTTGTTCTTCTGGTTGTTCAAAAGCCTCCATTAAGGAGAGAGTCTGAAAGCAAACAGCTTTTTGCTGTGTTATTTCTTTATAAAACCCACAGAAATATAGTTGTTGTACTCATGGGTTATATCATCCATTTAGATTAATCCAACGATGGAACATTCTGGACACCATATTGAATATAAATAAAAAGTGGATGTGACAGGATGTAAGTCTCCTGTGATGGAGTGGATGTGATGTAGGGGTATAATAGGGATTGATGTTCCATTTTTAGTGATATATATATATATATATATATATATATATATATATATATATATATTTTTTTTTTTTTTTCTTTTAAAAGAACATAAAAAGTTTGGCCCCCAGTCCCAATGGTATTTCTGGCTAGTGGTAGTTTTAGCTTTGTCTCTTTGTCCCAATGTCCTCCTTATGGGACTACCCCACTCTTTGCTACCACCTATTCCTACCCCCGGATGTATTGTGGTACTTTGGTAGGTTGACATATACATTTATTTGTACTTACAATAGTAAATTGTATGCAGTGCCTTTATGTATATGTTTAGTACATTTGTGCTGTGTTTAGTTATTATCAGTATCTCCCCGCTGGATGCTTGTATGGTCCTGAAGAAGCTGTATGAGAAACGTGTTAATTTAGGGAGATCTACTATCATACGTTGTGTAATTTGTGAATACATACTGTATATATTCTGCATATTAAATTACAATTGTACATTCAGCAATGGCTGTTGCCAACTATGAAGATATTGTTAATAGTGGAAATTATGTTTTCTTAGTACATAAATTATTTTAAAGGAATAATAAAATTAAGTATACTTTTTATGATATGTCAGCGTCATCTCATTTGTATCGGTAAAATCTTCACTTCTTCTTTTTGGATATACAGTGATGTTTTGGATGTGGAATAGTGGTGGTGGCCTATATATGCTATTTTTCTCCCTTCAGGTGAGATTTCCCTTCACTTCCTGTCCCAGAGAAGCAGCAGGAAGTGAAAGGAAATTTCTACAAAGGGCAGATAATTACCCTCTTGGAGGGCTGTCCCTCTTGGAAGATTTACCATCACCACTTCCTTGGTGAAAACTATAATTTTCTGTCTTGGTAACAAAATTCAAAACATACCATTGTGTGGCTAAACATACACCTGAGGGACTTTTAAGCTTCCTTTTAAACTTTCTGTCTAAAGGATACATTTTTTGTTAGCTCTGTAATTATTTAGTTTGGTTAGAAAAAAAGAGATCAAGTGCAAATAACCTAAAATTTTACCTTATTTTCTGTACGTGACCCAATACAAAAGTACAGAGTAAAAACTAATGAAGCCTGAGCAGTGAAAAACAATTAGACTGATTTACCAAAGGAGTGAATAATGTTCTAACAATACATTGTATAAAGATTCACTTTGGTTACAATGTGAAAAGTGTATTCCTCCTGCCCACCCTATGATTAAGCCCTGGGAGGGAACTCTGGAATATTATTCCTGGCTTTGAGCGGCGTTCCAAGTTTAGCATACAGGACCTTTGGTACATCAGATTCATTATATTGGATCTAGGGGAATATTTATAAAACTCTAGTAAATTTGAGGCACATTCACCATGTTGAATTCATAAACATTGACCATACCTAAATTTATAAGCCGACAACTTTTGGCACTTTTTAACCGCCTCCCGCCCGCCATATAGTCCAATGACGGACGCAAGGCGATTCTCTCATTCTGGGAGGACATCATATGACGTCCTCCCATTCTCATCGCGCATGCGCAGCATGGTGATCGGTGGTCACCGATTCACGGAAAGAGCCGAAGATGTCGGCTCGATCATGTGATCAGCTGTGTCCAATCACAGCTGATCGAACATAAACAGGGAAATGCTGGTTATCGTAATTTCTCTCCTCCCGAGCTGTCACGCTGACAGCACATGAGGAGAGGAGAGTCGGTAATCGGCATCCCTCAGAGGGGACATGTACACTGATCATCAGGGCACTGATGATCAGTGTACGCTGATGATCAATGTAGCCCCAGCAGTGCCACCTGTCAGTGTCCATCATACCAGCTCTCGGTGGTCATCCATGCCACCTGCCAGTGTCCATCAGTGCCACATCAATGCCACATATTAGTGCCTACCAGTGCACATCAGTGCCACATATCAGTGCCCATCTGAGCTGCCTTTCAGTGTCACCCATGAGTGCCAGTCAGTGCCACCTATCAATGCCAATCAGTGCCACCTATCAGTGCTGCCAATCAGTGCCACCTATCAGTGCCAGTCAGTGCCGCCTATCAGTGCCAGTCAGTGCTGCATATCAGTGTGCATCAGTGCCGCCTATCAGTGCTGCCTAACAGTGCCTCCTAACAGTGCCAGTCAGTGCTACCTATCAGTGCCAGTCAGTGCCGCCTATTAGTGCCAGTCAGTGCCGCCTATCAGTGCCACCTATCAGTGCCATCTATCAGTGCCATATATCAGCACTGCCTTTCAGTGTCCATCAGTGATGCCTGTCCATGCCCATCAGTGCCACCTACCAGTGCCTCCTCATCAGTGCCCATCAGTGCGTGCCCATCAGTGCCACCTATCAGTGTCCATCAGTGCAGCCTATCAGTGCCCATCACTGCAGCCTCATTAGCGCACATCAGTGAAGGAGAAAAATCACTTATTTACAAAATTTTATAACAAAAACTAAGAAAAAAAAACTTTTTTTTTCAAAATTTTCAGTGGTTTTTGGTTTGTTTAAGAAAAAAATAAAAATCTCAGAGGTAATTAAATAGATACCGCCAAAATAAAGCTCTATCTGTCACAAAAAAATTATAAAAATTTCATATGGGTACAGTGTTGCATGACCGCGCAATTGTCATTCAAAGTGTGACAGCACTGAAAGCTGGAAATTGGCCTGGGCAGGAAGGGGGTATAAGTGCCCTGAAGGCTAGTGGTTAAGAAGGTGATATTGGGATTGTTCAAACTGGTAAATGTGTGCTAAATGTTAAATGCACAGTAGGAGCATTTTGGTGGATTTAAAGTGAATGTGCAATGAATGTTTAATAGCCCAGGATGTAGAACCATCTGATTCAGCACATAATCTTTTTGTATTTAATTAAATTTTTTTTTCTATCTAAGTACATCGATCATTCAATGCTCCAACATTTTTTAATACTTTATCTGACTGCAAAATGCGGTATTGCATAATTTTTGTAATGCAGAACTTTGGCATATCATTTGATATTATTTAACAGTGGAATACAAATGTGCATTGGGAATATTATGACTCTCTCTTGTTAAGAAGCAAATAGAAAAATGGCTGCAATTAATGCCCAATTGAACTTTCAGTACAAAGTGGATCTTCCATGGAGAATGGAAAGTCTGTTTTTTTACCAGCCCCCTTCACACTCAACACAAATGGCTTTAAAAGCCATTGATTAAGAAACTGCCCCCACCCAAAAATATAATATGTTGGACAGTGACTCCCAGCAGAACTGAGGACTGGAAACCAGGCCATTGCAGTATTTTATTATTTTATTTTATTTCAGTTACTTATTTAGCGCCTTAAATTTACCCATTGCTTTACATATATATTGTACATTCACATCAGTCCCTAACCCTCAAGGGGCGTACAATCTAAGGTCCCTAACTTACATCCATACACATACCAGGGCCAATTTAGACAGGAGCCAATTGTGTAGTTATGCAAAATTTTGAGGGACCAGCTCTGCCTAAAGACATGTTTTTGGTCTCCCATGTCTCCCAGAAGCATTGAAAGCTGAAGTTAAAGTAAGATTTTTTTCTGTGGAAATAACTTTTTTATTAAAGGGTTTTAAAAGCTATTTGTGTTTGAGGGGAAGAGAGCTGGCAAAAAAGCAATCTTTAAGATTTTCTTGGAAAAGTTCACCTGAAATCAGCTAAATACAATAAAGTTGTATCAGAACAAAAAGAGTGCAAAACCTTACAGTTCAAGAGAGTCATAATAATGTAAACTCTTTATAAATATGCCCTTTACAGAATGCGTAGCATTGTATATGATCCAAATTTTTTAGTTGACCACAACAGTTTACAGGAATGATGATAAGTTGTTGTCAAGTGAATCTGAACTTTGTATTTCACTTTATTAAATTGGTTGAAAACCCTCAAATATACCCAGTAAAGTGCCTGGCCTCAGGTGATACACAGAGATGAAAAATCCTCCTACATAAGTTTTATCTATTTATCTGAGCCCTGATTGGAGGGAAGGGAGATACCTGCCTCCTCATAATACACAGAGAACATGCAGAGCTAAGGATATCAGTCACAGGCTGTGTGCTGGAGCTCTCCTCCCCATCAACTTTTTATCTCTTGGTGTTGGAAAACCTGTCAGAAATTACTCATGCAGATAACAAAAAACAAGGCATCAGAGAGCAATCACATTCAGTTCTTTGGATATAGGCAAGTACACATTATAGAAAGATATGCTTTGTTCATATTTCATATCTGAGGTTTACAACCACTTTTACATTTACAGATACTCTGGAGAGGGTGATTAACTAAAGTTAGCTATTGTTGCAGGTCTATGCTTGCATAAAATGATCAATTATAGTGCTTACTTCTGATGCAGTGCTGGAATTTTATGGGCTCTCCTATGTTTCTTAGTGGTGACCCACTCTGCAGTTGCATCTTAGAACGCATGACACACTGATACTGACAATTAAGCTTCATCAATTTCAGATAACTCCAACCACCAGGTGGTATGACTTCCCCTCTCCTTGCCGTAGGCTACATTTAATGGAGCAGGTAAATGTAAGCTTCTGATGCAGTCGGTTGGTGCCGGAGAAAACAGTCAGGCTGTCTTTCTCCTATCTTTACTGACAGCCCTAAGAGAGTAATTTGCCAAGGGTGGATGGATGAGTATCCCTTGTATGCCACTGTCTTTGTTCTTATTACTCTGTATGATTCATGGCCAGTTTAATGGGACTTTGCTTTCACATTATTTTGCCTGCTTCACACTTATTGGATTATTTTGTCATGGAACTACTATGCAAGCTTTTCCAAACTATTTTCATAGGAGTATTTGAAACCTGGTATATCCAGTCTGTTATGCAGGCCATAGACGGGTCAAAAACCAGCTGTTTAAAAAAAAACAAAAAACGGAAAATAGGTCGTTCAATAGGCCGAAGTTACCACCAACGGTAAAAAAAAAATCGGCCGATTTTCGTCCCTTCTATGGCCGACAAATATAATAGCGGAGCTCTCTGTAGGGAGCTCCGCTATTATATTTGACATGAAAAAGTATAGCGGTTGCAACATTGTATCTATTTGTATCCATTTCGGATACATATGTTTTTATTCGGATACAAATAGATACATTGTTGCAATCGCAATACTTTTTCATGTCAGATATAATAGCGGACTTGAATTTTTCTTCTTTTTCTTCTTCTTCTTTTGCTTCTTCTTTTTTTCTTCTTCTTTTTCATCTTTTTCTTCTTCTTTATCTTGCAGGTCATGGCTCATGCGCAGATTTTTTTAACGGTAAAAAGATTGTCCGATTTGCCCATCATTGCCGTGAAAATCGGCCGATCGGCAAAATCGGCGAATTTTTTTCCAACTTTACCGATAAAAAAAATGTGCCAAAATCCAGAAAAATGGCTGACCAATTAACCCATTAACGGTGCGAAAATCGTCCGATTTTTTTTTCGGCCGAAAAATCGATGGATTTTTGACCCATCTATGGCCTGCATTACTGAGATGCAGTGTTAACTGGTATACACAGGCAATCATTGGCACCTGTGCAGAGCAAGTCTCTCTGTGTCTGGTGGTGTTCTGGCCAGTACACAGGATACATTCCAAAGTTTATATACATGTCTTCAGCATTCCTATTTAAGAGGGCCATCTACTATATTATGGGGTAGTACCCTTTGGAGTAAGTGCAGAGCTGGACTCCACGTAGACAGTGGTGTTCCAGCCAGCTTACTAGGCAATGTGAACACCATTATCTGTTATTTACTTATGTTCATAATGTGACGATTATTACTGCTTCATACACTGGGATACGTTTGATGGCCATTTGCTTACTTTTGATAGACTCTTTTCTGAATTTATGGCAGCTGGTGTTACATGCTACTGAGTCCATTTGATATACACCTTATGAGACACACTGGACATTTATGGACTTTAGCTCTCTTTGTTTTGGACTCACATATAGGGTACAATATATAAAATATTCTAAAGTATACATTGTGTTAGCATTAGATAGCTCATTGAATATGAATCCTGGCCAATATTTTTGTTTTTTTTTTTTTAAAATGTATTAATAAAGTGTAGTTTTCTATGATTATCCAAACCTTTTCTGGTGTGCTGTATTGAGATTTATGTTAATAATTTACAGGGGTTTTAGTCAGAACTATGTTTTTTATTGGAGGCTTATTGTATGTGTTTCCCCGGTGACTACCCCTTGTTTAACCCTTTGGTGCCAACCACTCTTTAAGGCCCAGTTCACACTGCATTTGAAAGAAGGCATTTGAGGGGCATTTTCAATGCTCCTCAAATGCCTATGCAAATGATACTATGGGCAGCACACAGTGCTGTTCACATTATCAAAACATGAAGCATTAGTGTTGCGTCACTTCAAAATTGAAGCCTCATGTCGAGTTAGGAGGAGTTTGAAGCCTTTCAACACCTCCCATTCAAGTCTATGGTGACACTCCTCAAACACCCTGACAGGCGTTTGCAGGGAGTTTGCAGTGCAGTTGCGGTGCTTTAATACCATTAGAGTTTATTATAGGCATTTGTGGTGCAGTTTTAGCACTTATAAAAACACCTCAAAACCGCACGTAGGGCATTTAGGGAGCATTTGTAATGCTTGTAAAATGCCAATACTAAAGCTCACTAATGCATGTCCATACTAACGCTATAGGGACATTTTTGAAGAATTAGAAATTAATTAAGTGTGAACAAGCCCTAAGGGTTCTAAACGTTGGGAAGTGGAGGCAGGCATTCCGGGCATGTGACCACTGTTATTGGCTGTCAAAGCAGTCACATGATTGGAAGGCTTCTGATCGCAAGTATGCAAGGAGCTTAACGATCCCCGCTGGCTACTGTGCTGGG